GTACAACTGAAAAAGGTACAACCAATTGTATGGAGAATTAAACTAAATTCAATTTTGTAAGATGCATTAAATATTGATTAGATTTTATATGTAAAATAAAATAAAAAATAACTGGAACAGTTTTACTATTTAAAAATAAATAAAAAATCTTCTTTTACGTGCATACCAACATTTTATGAACTACATGAATATTCCTAAATTAATATTGCATACCCAATATTTTAGGAACTAATTAAATGCTAATTTAATTTGCATACCAAAAATATTAGATTCATTAATTAAATACTTAATAAAAATAGCAAATCATTAATTAGGGTTGACTATTCTACATACTACATTTAGTAAATAGTATAGCTTTTAATATAAGTATAGATTTTTTATTAATATCAAAATTCTTGAACCACTTTTTATGTCCAATGCGATTATTAGCTCGAATGACTCATTGAAAAGTGTGTTCTTATATTATTTCAGTTAAATTGAACCCACAACATTATATTAACATCAACTATTTCATAATAGAATTATTTAATAACATAAGACCACTACTTAATAAAGTACATGACTCTGCATTATGCATATATAAAGTGTAGGTTGTTTTTGCCCAATTTTAAGCTACTCATGACTAGTGTTGTTAAATTAAACGAGCCTGGTTCAGCTCGTTAAGGCTCGTGTTCGTTTAGAGCTTGATTGGTTAACGAGCCGAGCTCGACTCGGCTCGATAAAACTCGAAAATAGAATTTTTATATAATTTTTTATAGTTCGGCTCGTTAAGGCTCGAGCTTGAGGCCTTAACGAGCCGAGCTCGAGCCCAAATTTTGGCTTGTTTATTTAACGAGCCGAGTTCGAGTTCGAGTTCAAACACATTAAGCTCGAGCTCGGCTCGACTCGTTTACAACTGTACTCATGACAATAATATAGTCTAACAACTATATGTACATCTAACCACTTGTTGGTTTGAACTTGACTCGATCAATAAGTCATATAAATTTTAATTAAAAATCACATTAGTACTTTTAACAACCGAACCTTCTCTACTCGGTTAAAATTCCTTCAATATATCTTCAACACATTTATTTTCCACAACATTTTATTTTAGAGTTTGAAATCCTGATATCTAGCTCGACTCGTTAACTTAATGACACGACATGCGAGCTTGAATTTAAATCATTTGAAACTCAAGCATTGACGAGTTGAGCGGTGCCAATGGAGACTTGGTTATGTCTTACATCTCTACACTTAACTAGAGGTATAAATGAGACGAACAGAGCTTGAGAATGAGCTTTTAAGCTCATCTTGCTCACTAAATGAGATATTAATCGAGCTTGAATTACGTTTGTATACTAATGAGTCAAACTTAAACTTTAACGACATCGACTTATTAACTAAACGAGCTTTCAACAAGCTCGATTTTAAGTGGTTTGAGCCAAACTCAAAAGGCCAATTGAGCCGTGTTTATGAAGATTTTTTTTTTTTCATTTTTTGTAACACTAAAGCAAACAAACTTCTTACCGTGGCACAAATCAGCCGAAAACATAGCTGAGTGTTGTAGCCGAAAACATAGCTGAGTGTTGTTGGTTAGAGCATCTACAATATTCTGGTTCAATCACAAAAATTATAGGGTCAAAATCTTTTTCACCCCGTTATATATCTATTCTTTCTTTTTCACACCACCCCGTCAAATAACTTCTTTTACACCCCAAAATTCACGAAATGCTATGCGATGTTGCACTTGCATGTCCAAAATGAACCAGCACATATCCAATCGGCCGCATAATTTCTGACTATGCGTAAACATTTCGCGTTTATTTAATCGTATATCCACATCAAAACGCATAATTTACAAATCTGCGAACATCTTTTTCATTTTTAATAATCGCATATACAAATCGAATGCAGCATAATTTACGATGATTATGCGCCTTCTTTTCGCAGGGCTATATATCAACCTTGCAAATTTATGACTGCGAAAATATTTCGCATCTAATTCGCATAGTTTGTTGAATACGCATTTTCTGGTCAATCGCATAATTTATGAATATGCGAAGAAATTTCGCATATATCCTCCGGATAATTGACAATTATGTGACGTTTTTTCGCTCGCATATTTAAGAATAATCGCATAACCAAATCGAATAAAGCATATTTTTTACGACTATTCGCACAATTAGGTTGATTGTGCGATTCGCATAACATGTAACATAATAATCGCACAATTAGGTTGATTGTGCGATTCGCATATCATATCCCATAATCGCACAATTTGTTGAATTCGCATTTTCTGGAAATTAAATATCCCAGATGATATAGCCATATTGTCGTGTAACGGTTCAATAACCGTGATATAGCCACACTAGCTCATAACGGTTCATATCATCTCGGTTCGAAATTATCAAGTCGACTTCGACACAGTCGACTCCGCCAGTAAGGTTCCGCAATACTCAGTCAGGAATCCCGGATCTCGACCGAGTCGACGTACACCTGTCGACTAGAATAAGTCGACCTCTGGCGAGACAACGGTCGGATGTATCAGGGTCCACTAACGGCTGAATGCGAT